TTTTCCTGTAGGTCAGGATAGACTTCTGTACCCCATTTCCTGTATTTCTTATTTCCCAGTAGTGTGTGAAAACATTTGTTTTAAACATATGTTTTTAAAACTTTAGGTTTCAAATTTTCTCTCTTCCTCCCTCCCCACCCACCCTCATTGAAAAGGCAAGCAACTCCATATAGGTTGTATACGTTGCAGTTGTGCAAAACACGTCTATAGTAGACATGTTGTGAAAAACTAACTCTATTTCCCTTAATCCTATCCTGCCCTCCCATTTATTCTATTCTTTCTTTTGACCCTGTCCCTCCTCAGAAGTATTTACTTCTGATTACCCCCCTTTCCCAATCTGCCCTCCTCTCTATCATCCCCCTGCTCTCTTCTCCCCTTCTCCCCCTATTTTCCTGTAGGGTAAGACAGATTTCCATACCCAATTGAATGTGTATGTTATTCCCTCCCAAAGCAATTCTTAGTCAATACATGTTGCCAAACTTTCCTAGTACATTTGGATTATTTTATTTATGTCCTGTTTACCAAATGAGGCTGCTTTGCATAGTGCTAAAGAAACTTTAATTTGTCCTTGACCAAATGTGGAGGTCAGTTATCATTAATTATTAGTGCGTAGTTGTTCCACAGAAAAAATTGTGAAAATGTGCTCTGACACTTCATGAGATAATGCTAAATGAATGAATTATGTAGTGTTAAATAAAACCCTTTTTAAGTTAAATTATTCAAAGTTAAAGTATTTTAAGGTTTTCTTCTTTTAAAAAAAAATCTGTTTTAGTTCTGCAAGTTAACCTTTTGAATTTTGAACCATTGAATACTCTTTTTGGAAGGAGCATGAGAAATAGTAGTTGACTTTTTCAGTGGATAATTGGAAGACCAAGTTTCTCTTTAGGCTTTCCTTCCCAAATAGAGAATTGGAGACAGGAGACTGTGCCAATAATATATTTTAAAAGATACCATACTTTGTATGGCATTAGAAATTACAGATATCCGCAGTTGCTGACAAAAATTGTTTCAGCGTTTAAGATTTTTAAAAGAAACCTGAATCAAAAAATCCAAAGACAAATCAAAATGCAGCGACCTATAATAAATGCAAATACAAAGAAAGATAAACATAAAGCTAATGTTTGTAATGAAACACCCAAACATACTGAAACCCAAAAGAGAGTGCCCAAACTGCATAATAAATCTGAAAGAAAGTTTCTTATGAGAAAAGGGAACTATGTGGCTCTACTGGATGGCCCAAAGATAGGAATGGCAAAGTGAGCTGTTTGAAACATGAAAGATGATTTTGTGATACAGTAGAAGATAGATCAGGGGAAGGGGGCTTCAAGAGAAAGATGAATTGGGAAGAGAGTGAGTCACAGTGTCCCTAGGGAAAGAACTTTGAGAAATGTGTTGTCAGAACATGCTACCAAAGTAGTCATAGTTCAAAACATGTATGTTCTTGAGTGGACCATCTCCTCTCAGGATTCTTTTGATTACATGATGACTCAGTTCAGTAGATATGATTTGGAAAATGATTCTTCCATTGATCTTTTAACTCTTTCCCCCTCTCTCAAGTTTTAATTATACCTTAATTGCCAAATCTAATTAACTTCTCTCAGTCCTCAAACTTTTTGACTTCTCTGTATTATTTGATACAGTTGCTTTCCTTCAGGATGCTTGACTCCTCTACCTTGTCTGACCATTCCTTCTCAATCTTCTTTCACAAGTCATCATTTGTGTCACACTCCCTAACTGTGAATATACCCCCAGGCCATGTCCTGGGCGCCCTTCCATTTTTTCTCTTCGCTTTCTCACTTAATTAAACCTTTGGGAACTATAGGGGTCATTATCTGTCATCTGCCTAGAGATAACTCACAGGGAGATGTGGGAGTGTGGGGGGTATTTTGTTCTTCTTAGCTCTAGTCTCATACCATCAACTACCCACTGAACTTTTGAACTGAATGTTTATTAAACATCTAAAGCCTAACATATCCAAAACAAAACTCATCATCGTTCCTCTAAATCCCATCCATCTTCTGAACACCTATATTCTGTCAAGGGTACTTTTAGTCACCCAAGTTTACAACCTGTCAGTCAACAGTGAACAAGGCACTTCCTAATGTGTCAGACACTGTGCTGTGTAGTGTCAGCTTTGACTTCTAGCACACACAGTATTCAGTAAATCTTTTGTTTATTGATAAGCAAAAGATATTTCCTTATCTCCTATTCATTAACTTCCCATGACTATAGGTAGCTGTACTCCTCTACCTCCTCTCAGTCTTAAAACCTTGGAGGTGATTTATATTGCACCAGACACCCTTTATATTCTCCCAAATTCAATCATTTGTCAAGTCCAATGTGTTCCTTATTGTGTTTACCAAACAGCAGTACCCTAGGATTTAGCCTTCAATATGTATATTCTATTATCTTATTATTATTTCCGGTATATAACTTGTTTCCCCAAAAGATTGTCGTCTTGTCGACGATAGAGTACTTTCATATATTCCCTAGCAGTACTTAGCACTTTACTAATATATAGGTAACATTCAAATATTTGTATACTTGCTTTCTAAAAACCATCCCTAATGATGAAAATTATAAGATTGAAAATAAACTTTAATAAGTATTAAATGTCATAGAAATTTGTTACTTAATTACATTCTTCTGGAACTTGGACTTCTAAGTTTCTCATGATGCTAGTTGCTTGAAAGTTCCCATTAATTGGGGTGTTCTTGCACTTAGTTATAATGGAAAATTGGGGGACTCATTCTGTTTTAACCACACAAAAATCTTTTCTTGCTCCAACCAAACAAATTTATTCACTACCTACTAAACATGCTTTGTGCTTTCCTGATTCTGGATTTTTTTTTCCTTATCGTTCCTTCTGACTGGACTGACTTTCTCATTGCCCTTCTTCTTGTCCTATCTCTATCTTACCTATCCTTCCAGATTCATTCCAGATCCCAGTTCTTGGTCACCCCAGTCTTTCTCTCTGTCCTCTGAACTTAATTAACATCAGTTGTCCACATAGTTCTTTTGTCGAATACTGCCTTGTGATATCTTTTCTAATGACCCATTAGTCAAATTCTTTCTTTTGTTTTATTTCTCTAGATTGTAAACTCATAGATTGTTGGAGATAAAAGGGACTCTCGAGATCATCTCTTATTCAGATGAGGAAACTAAGTGAAATCCAGAGAGAAAAGCTGACTTTACCAGGTCATATAGCAACTTAGTAGTGCAGGCAGGACTTGAACCCAGGTCTTCTGACTTCTAATCTTTTCCTTAATACTGCCCTATTTTCCTTGAATACAGGATCTCTCTTATATTTTGTACCCCCAACAATACCATCTTGTGTATTACACAAGAGTAGGTGCTCAAATAAATATGGATGGATTGGATTCCAATCTTGATCATATAACTTTAGAATAATTTGCATCACTCTGAATCTCATCTTACTGTTTTTGTGTTGTAGATGCGTAATTTTTGCTTTTGGGCCACGGATTCAGTTTTGCAATGCCTCCAGACTCATAACCAACCACACTGGTTTTCTCTCTTTTCCATATGCACAACACTCAAATTTCCTGTCACTGTGCTTTTGCTCTGGCCATCACAAATGCTTAGAATACTCTCCTATCTTCCTCCTCCTCAGAGTTCCTTTCTTCCTTTAAGACACTGGGAATTCAAGTACCATCTTACGCATGAAGCATTTCCTAATCATCCGAAACACTAGTTCCCTCCTCCACATCTTCCTCGTATTTTACTACTTTGTACATATTTGTATTTATTTACTTTATATTTATGTTGTTTATATTTTTATATGTACTCCCATGGGATGCAAGTTCCTTCCAAGTAGGAATTGTTTTATTCTTGGTAATTGTATCTCTTTCCTCCAGCAGGTCACCACCTCTATCATCTGTACCCTCTTACTCATCTTCAGTCTCTCCCTGCCTACTAGCAACTTCACGACTTCCTACAAATGTGCCCACGTCTCCCCCCATCCTCAGTTAAATCCTCACTAGCTCAGCCCATCCTGAATAGCTGTTGTCCTGTACCTCTCCTCCCTTTTGTTTCTAAACTCTCTGAGAAATTTGTCTGTAATCAGTGCGTCTATTACTCTCTTTTCTGGACTCTCTATAATCCTACTTCCACCTTCATCATTCAACTGAAACTACTTTCTCCAAAGTTATCAATAGTCTCTTAATTGCCAGATCTAATGGTCTTTTATCAATATTCATCTTTCTTGATTGCTCTGCAGCCTTTGACACTGTTGTTTACTCTTGTTGACACTCTCTGCTCTCTTCTGGGTCTCCTGTCTGTCTCACTCCTCCTTCTCAGACTCCTTTGCTGAATCCAAGTCGTGCCCTCTAGCCATGGGTGTCTCTGAGGATTCTGTCCTGGGCCCTCTTTACTGTGTCACTTGGTGTTCTCATCAGCTGCCATAGATCCAGTTACCATCTCTATGCAGATGATTCTCAGATCCGTTTGTCCATCTTAACCTGACTCCTGATCTCCAGTCAAACATTACCAGTTACCTGTTGGACATCTCAAAGTGGATGTCTCACATATGTTAACTCCTCGTGTCCAAAACTGAACTTATCTTTCTCCCCAAACCTTACCCTCTTCCTAACTTCAGTAATTTAAATATAGAGCTTCAGTGAGTATCCATTAAATACTACTATGCCTAATATATTTAGAAAAATGTATTGATTTGAGTCTGTTGATCAAGGTAATTTTTAATGTCAAGATTTTGAAAATTGTTGCATTCTAAGTCTTAAACAACAGTTACAAGATATAATTACATGAAGTAATGAGAGAAATTCCATTATCCACAAATGAAAATCAAATATCACTTTAGACTTACATCACATAGGTACTAAATTACATTTTGTTTTGAAGCTGGCATACCTTTGAGTTTGTCTTGTGATATTAAGGTGTCATTGTTATCAGCTGAATTATGGATGTAATTTTATAAACTGGCAGCATTTTGCCATTAATACAATGGTGCCTCCGTTTTTCAGGTTACAGATAGAAGAATCTTCAAAACCTGTAAGATTATCCCAACAGCTGGAGAAAGCTGTTACAACCAATTTTAAACCAGTGGCTAATCATCAATACAATGTAAGTTCTATGAATTTCTTTCTGTATTCCAGCCTGTTTTTGTCTCTTATGCCTTATGATAACTAGAAATCTGGTGTAGCTTAACTTTCTTAAGCTGGTGTTCATAGATAGGCAGCATTGATTTTGATACAGAGGGGGAAACCTTATAGCTTTTTTAAAGTTCTAAAATCTTTATAAACTTATTTATAAATTTATCCTGAACTTAAGCACTCCAAGAAGTAGCATCTCCACATAGGAAACAGAAGAAAAAAAAGAATTAGGTGTGAAATCACAAATGTCTATTACATACAGTTTATTTTTTTAAGTACATAATAAATTCAACAAATTCAAAGTTCTCCTGTTTATGTTTCCTTCTGAACTTACTTCTGTTCCCTTCTGTGTATCTTTTTAAATTCTTTAATAACTATTTTTCTTTTTCTTCTATATTTTTGTGACATGATTACTAATTCCACTGTCCTCTACAAATGAAAAAAGAAAAATACAACCTTTGTAACAAATGATCCATAGTCAAGCAAAACAAATTTACCCTTTGGCCATATCCAGAAACTTATGTCTCATCAGACTCTTTGAGTCCATCTCACTCCTCTGTCAGGAAGGATTGTTTCATCTTTGATTCTCTGGTAGTCCTGGCTTATTGCATTGATCAGAGTTCTTAAGTCTTTCAGTGTTGTTTTTCTTCACAATATTGTTGTTACTCTATAAATTGTTCTAGTTCTGCTCACTTCACTCTTCAGTAAATCATGCAGGTTTTCCCAGGTTTCTCTGAAATCATCTTTTTCATCAGTGTTTATAAAAGCACAATAATATTCCATTATATTCACATACCGTCCTTTGTTCAACCATTCCCCAGTTGATGGACACCAGCTTTGTTTCTAGGTCCTTGGCTACAACAAGAAAAGAGCTCTTTCTTTGATTTCTTTAGGGTGAAGATCTAATACCAGCACCACTAAATTCAACGTCTTTTGGGAAATAGTTCCAAATTGCTTTCTAGAATGATTGTACCAGTTAACAACTCCATCAGCAGTGCACCACTCTGCCTGTCTCCCCATAGTCACTCCAAAAAGTTTTTGGGTTTGGTTTTTTTCCAGTCATTTTTGTCAGTCTGATAGCTGTGAGGTAGAACCACAGAGATGTTTTAACTTGCATTTTCTAAATAAGTTCATTGCTTTTTAAAAGAAATGTACTTAATCAGTTTTATAATGAAAGGTACATTACACCCAGACATTAATAAAAATCTCTCTAGGCACCATCATATCAACATTATTTACTGATTTATTCACCCTGCATTTTCTTGCTTATTACTTACCCTATCGTATGGCTACCAAATCCCTCTTGTTCTTCTGATTTGCCTAAGCAAAAATCTCTTTCCCCACATGTATGTTTCTGCCTATTTCTAATCCTTCCCCTTCCTTCCACTATGACTTCTGGATCTCCTTCTCTGGTTTTGTTTGTTTTGTTTTTGTTTTGTTTTGTGTGTGGTTTGTTGTTGTTGTTTATTTTTATTTTTGGTGAAGTAGTCAGGGTTAAGTGACTTGCCCAGGGTCAAACAGCTAGTAAGTGTCAAGTGTCTGAGGATGTATTTGAACTCAGGTCCTCCTGACTCCAAGGCGGGAGCTCTATCCTGCTCTGTTTTTAACTCACTCTTATACTTTCTTTCTCACTCTGTTATATTCCTTACATCTTCTGACTCTGACTGGCTTTCTCTTGAAGCTACAGTATCCTTTGCTGCCCTCTCCATGGTTGTTTCTTCTCTCATACGTCCAATCCCCAGTATTGAGGCACTTTGCTTCCCACTACTGATTCCTGCTGCCTCATGTTCCCTAGGGTGCTAAAAAAGGTGATCAGTACAACCCTATAACTTGTGACTGTGTTTTTACATTCAGCTACTAAGAGGGGTTGTCACAAGTTAAGAGTAAAACACCACCCGAAGTTTTTCTACCTCTGAGGTCTTAAAATAGAAAATTCCTCTCTCTGGTCAGTCTTTTGACCTTCCACCTTGCCCATTCCATTCCTAGAGCCAGTCTGTGGGTTCTTTCAGTTAGTGCCTTGTCTTCTGTGCTCACAGGTTCTGAGCTCTTTTTTTGTTCCTGCATTATGGTGCTCAGGTTTGTTGGTTTATAATGTTATACTGGAGATCTATGATGCTTAAGTTGTCTTTACATATCCTGTCTTTGAGATTGATGTAATTCTTATGTGGCAGTCATGATTTTTAAAAATTTTACTGCTTTTGGCTTCTCTTCTAAACTGTCATTTTGGCATATTTCTAATCCTAGTCATTCATTATCTCTGTTGCTTCTTTGTATAGATTCACCATCATGGATTAAAATTTTTCTGTTCTACTCGTTTCTGTTGAACGAGCAATGAGTTCTGCCGTTTGTTCCCTTTTAACTTCTTTCAAGATTCTTATTTCTCTCTGGAACCGTTCAGAGATATCGTGCTATGGTTCCATGTTCTGTTGGGAAATGAGAGAATTGTCTATTTTATTACGTATGGTTTAATTGTTTCCTTTTGTTTTGCAGTATTTATTTACTGACACTTGTCATTTAGATGTCTTATTAGTCATCTTCCTCTCTGTTTTAATATCTTCTATTGACTTAGCTGCTTGTGCTCTGAATTTTTAAGTTTTCTTCCTCCTGAGATCTTTGGTGGTTCAAATGAGGTAAATGTAAAACACTTAGCACAGTAGATACTTACTTCCCTCCCCTTCCTTCCCCTTCTGTTTTCTTTTCTTTATGTTCCCCCATTGCTCAGTTTCTGACTCCATCCCATGTTGATGGCATGTCTTTTAGGAACTATACATGAAAACAGTCTCAGCCTCCTCCCACATTGAAGAATTCCCTTTTTACTAGCCTTAGTCCTTGCTGTATGGAGACAGGACTGGTCCCCACTGGATATCAATCCCTTTTCCTTTCAGCATGGTGCAGCCCCACACACATGCTGGCATCTTTTCAGTTCTTTCTGTTCTTTATGTCTATGACTGAGCCCTGCCACCCCAAGCGTGCTCGTGGCATCCTTCACCTTTCCCTTCTCCACAAGTGGGTGTACCAAGTAGAATTCTGTTGTTTGTTGCCAGTGAATAGAGGGGTGAGGGCAGGGTGTGCTAACAGAGTCTACAACAGGGAATTGCTGAGTGCCCAAAGCGCAATCTGAGAGGAGAGAAGAGGGTACTGAGAGAGTGCATTAACTATTAGCATTCTGTGCTGCTAATTCATAAGGCTGTTAGGCTTCTTGGTGAATTAATATATTTAAAATGTTTTTGCAAGCCTTAAAGTGCTGCTAAGTGCTAGTTGCTACTACTACTACTACTACTACTACTACTACTACTACTACTTACTACTACTACTACTTCCAAGGCATTGAATGCTGCTGAAGGTTATTAATAAACCATTCAGACTGTGTTTACTACAAACCATGTTATCTAACTTTACCTGAGTTCCCCCTGATGCACAGCATCCTTTTATTCATTGCTAACCCACTATCATATTATTTATTGAGCTGTTCCAAACTTACATTGCCCTCACATCATCAATTTACTGCAGGCCCCTTTCTCATATTAGGCTTCCCCTTCTGCTTGAGAAAATTAAAATTTATCCTGTATCATTTATGAACTGATCTTATTTACAAGTAATTGATTTTGTTAGGTAATTGGTTCTTTGTCTCTGAACTTAGCTCAGAATTCAGCTAGCCTATAATGGGTTAGGTTTTAAAATCCATCTTTCTTGCCTCAAGGAATTTTGCTAACCTTGGGGAACATGTTGGAACAGAAAGGGCATTACCTTTACTCCACCAAGCTGTCATTCAAGGATATCTGGTTTGCTGTCCAAAAGTCTGGACCACTATCTCACACCTGGACTTAAACCAAGAAAACGTCTTAGTCTCATGACAAAAGAGAGGTGGTTGCTAGCCCCTATTACCAAACTTCTAACCAATCCTGTTGTTCTCTGCACCTCAGCTGTGTAACCAGTCATGTTGCCCTCAATTCCATGATGTCATCTTCTTTGTTCCCCCAAATCTATAAAGGGGGAACTGGCTCCAAGAGTCCTTTCCAGACTTATCCTCTTGAGTCTGTTTACTTTCTTGAGTCTGTCTTTCTCTCCCCAAAGCCTTCACTGTTCTTCCCAGCTGAAAATATTGCTTCCCTCCTGAAGTTTTCCTTGAGTACTTCATTCTCTTTTGCTTCTCATATCCTGTGTCATATTTATTGTTGTGTGTGCTTTGTCCCTACTTCACTTACAGTTCATTGACTCCTCTCCTATCTTTTCATACTTGGAGCTGTGCTTTTTCTCTTTTCTTGGCCTCACATTCTTTTTTCTGGGCTCCCATTTATTTTTCAGTGATCACTCATAGTATTTCATCAATCATATTTGATAGCTCTTTCAGTGCCTGACATATTTGAGCTGAACCTGAGAACTTTGACTCCTCCAGAACCAATAAGTTCTCTCTTACTTTCTCTTTATTTGTCTTGGGCATCAATTATTAGTCCCCTTAACTATTTCTTACTCTCCTCAGTCCAAAGATAAAGATTGTCCTTGGCAGAGAAAACAGAAGCAAAAATCAGAGTTGAGCAGATCTGCTTTCTTTCTGTCAACTATTATCCCATCTGCCGCCTTATAACATTCCTGTCCTTTTTTTAATTCTTTCCTTTTCCCCCCTTGGCAAAAATATTGAAAAGACTATTATGTGGAACAATAATAAGACTTAATTTCACCTAGTTCCACAGGGTAGACCTAAGACTAATTAGTGGAAGTTATAAGGAGGCAAATTTCAGCTGAATAGAAGAACTTAAATTTTTACAAATCCTGAATTTAACAAAACCTTGCCAAGAACATTTCCATCTCTAATTATCCACTATATCTCCTGTTCTCTTCATTTTCTCAGATTACAGATGGTAAGCAGGTCAGTAAATTATATTTGCATCTTCCTTCAGTACTCTGGCATGTAATTCATCTGGACCTTTAGGCTTGAACTCATTTAAAGGAGTTAAATTCATTCTTCTTATCTCCTTAGCTGTCCATGGCCTTTAATTCCAAACCCCTCACACCCCCAATCAAATTTGTTTGCCCTTTCCACTTTAAGATAAGGATTATTTTCCTTAAGGAGACAGAAACAAAGTAGGAGTTAATAGTTCTTCTTTCTCTAGGACATGTGAACATTGCACTAAGTACCTCAAGTAGTGGATTTATTTCTTCCTCTTCTTATTCCAAACAAACCTTTAAATGCGTTCTTATTGTCATTAGCATTTTTAAAAATCTTTTTTTTTCAAATTTAGAATTTTCACTTCAACAATATTATTACTACATGTGCTGTCTTTTATACATGACCTTTTGAAATCTGAGGTCAGAGATCCTTGAGTTTCTCCCACACACACACTTTTCTTCTGTATTAAGATAATTTTTTTTAAGTTTTAAGAATTGTACATCCTTTTCAAGCAAGTTTCCTTCTTAAAGGTTCTAGTCATGCTTATCTAAACTTTTAAAAATCAATTCTAGGATACATGCCTGGGGGTGCCTTCTTTGGCTGTAAAACACACATTCACACTCAGAATGAGAGGACACTTCAGTGGACACCTAGACCATCAACATACCAGTATAAGAATTCTTTCTAACACAACCTCCTTCAGGTGACCTCAGCCTTCACTTAAAAAAATACAAACAAGATTAGTCAGTCATTACCCTCAAAGACTTTGCATTCTGATAGGGGAAGACCACATGGATATAGGAGCTTTGACTTTGTGGTCTTCTTCTGGTTGTATGTTTTGATTTTCTTTGTTTGGTCTGACTTTTTTTAGACCTTTGTTTATTCATGATCCCAGCCAATTACTTGAGTTTTAAACTCTTTGTTAAGGTAGGGATCTGCTTCCAGTGTGGAGAGTGTACTGTCCCAAGCTTCAGGGGTTTTGTGCAGCTGTTTTCAGAAATACTTCTAGGGGCCTTAGATTTTCAGTTTTTCCAAGGTGATATGATAAAGGGTGAGGTGTTTACTCCTTTTCTGGTCTATGAGTGACCACGAGCACTCTTTTCTGGGAAGACCACATGGAAAAGGGTGCTGAGAGAGCACGGAGGGTACCCACTTGGGAGCATGATGAAGAGACTGTAGGAAGTTGTATGGTGACCTAGTTTCCACGCAAGATAAGACAAAAAAGCTGACATATCAGAGCACAGGGAATAGGTGTAGAGTCCAAGTTTCTGCTGAGGTGGAGATGGTCAGAAATTTGAGCCACAATGAGGAGAAATTTACATCAGCTGTAAATTTGACAAGCATTCCTTCTGTGCATTTCTTCTATGCCCTCAACCAAGTCATGTGCTAAAACTGTTAAATACCAGTGGACCAAGAGGAAATCCTTGGACTCTAAAGAATGCCCTCAAAGTTTACAAGGAATATTTATGATTGCTTTTTAGCTCCAGACACACTTAAATTACTACCAGCAGCACCACCTAAGTGGTACAGTGGGTAGAGGGCTGGGCTTGGAGTCAGGAAGAGTGGCCTGAGTTTGAATCCTTCCTTAGACATTTCCTAGGTCTGTGACCCCATATTGGCCTTGGTAGCTCCAAGGTTCCTTCCAGTTCTAAATCGACAGTCCTACAATAATCTATCCTTTCCACAAAACTGTCAGGAGAGAGAATGTGTAATGTTTTGTTGAAACCTAGGTGTATAGTTCTAGCTATAGCATTCCTCCAATCTGCAAGCTTAGTAATGGTGTCAGAAAAAGAAATGAGATTATTGTAGCATGATTTGTTTTAGTGATCACTACTTTTCTGTTCTAAATACTCATAAACTGTCCCTTTTTGTCACTGATTTTCTGTGAAATCCAGCAATTAAAGTCAAGCTTGTTGGCCGATAGTTTTCAGACTCCACCCCTTTCCCTTTTTGAAAATAGGACATCAGGCTTACAATACCTCTCTCTTTCAGTCTTTATAAGTCAGGTCACCAGTTGGGCTTAGCAGTCACAGAAGCCAGGATTTTGCCTTTAGGATATAGTTCATCTGGCCCCGTGTCTTGAACTCAGGTTTCAGCTCCCTGTTAACCATTTTTGTTCTGTATATCCACATCTCCTTGTCGGAGAAAACAAAAGTGTACCGAGAGTTGACGAGTAATTCTTTATCTCTGTCATTTGTTTTCTTTGTCCCGTATACCCCAAATGCTTAGTAAGAGCTCTCTCTCACATACAAACGTCCCCTTGTTGGTCTTTGGGGTTTGTTGTCGACCTCTAATCTCTCCTGATGCTCTTTTCTCTCTTTTTGCTTCTGTCTTCTACAAATCTGCGTTTAAAATCTGGATTGCTTAATTTGCCTTTCCTTTGCTTCTACATCGATCTCTTTAGACACATCCACCTTCTTTTCTTTCTTATTGGGATCATATTAGTGTCTTCAGAATTTTATTAGAAATTCACATCTGTATGCTCACTTCTTTAAAATTATACAGACTACATGAGGTGGGTAGTAACACAAATATTAACTTTATTTTATAAATGAAGAAATTGGGTCACACAGTCAGCAACAAAGTATCAGATCTAGCTGTCGAACCCAGGTGCAGGCTGGCACTCTGCCCTCCTCTATCGCAATGCCTCCATGTTTTCTATTTGACAGTGTAGTGTGCTTTATGCTCACCAAACAGTGTCATTTCTTTTTTCTCTCTTTTTATCCTGTCCCAAGTATTCTCTTCATGGCTTTTATGGATCCTTATGCAAATGTATCTTTTTAGACAAAACCTACACTATTCTCCCACATCTTCTTTAAAAACCATTTCTTTTGAGCAAGTCATACACTTCCATTTTAGTAGTTGTATTATTTATTCTCTGCTACTAAGTGTCATTTACATTATTACCTGTACTTTGTGTATTGGTGTATAAACAAATGAAGCCAATTTCTATCACTAATATTTCTTCTTTTGAAAACTATGAGTTTTAATTGAACATTTTTTTCTTCCTAGTTTTCAGTTTAAAGCTCCCCTAAGTCAGCAAGTCTTCATATTAAGAAATCCAAATTCATTTCTCTGGTTAAAGTTATCCGTCAAGTCACTTAACTCTCATTTCAAGCAAACAGGATTAATACTGATTGTTGCAAAAATTATGTTTTTCTTTGGGGAGAAGGGGGAGTAGAAGGTAAAGAAAATAAATTTTTGTTAGTTGAATAAAATTAGATAGATTTTTGTTAGTTGAAAAAATAAATGCAGAAAAATACTGGCATGGTCTACTTGGATTCTTTGGTACTACAAAAAGATAGGGCCTGTGTTGGAGCTAAATTTTTTCAGTAGGAACAATACATATCCAGTAAGAAAGATGGTGACAGTGAATAGACCGAGGTTCAAAGGAACTAACATCTGTGGGGCTCATCATCATAAGATACACAGCCATGACTTTGCAATTAACAGGGATTCATCTCTTACATTAGAATTTGGTTATGTATTAATAATGTTATTGAGACAGCATTGGTCAGGGTAGCATTACCTGATATATGCCTATATTATTTTTTTGTAACTTATGTCAAGGGAATTTTAAATGTTTATTTAATTAATGTTTTAAGTGAGATCCTTCAGGGAGTGGTTTAAGTTAAATTTTTATCACTAATTTGAAATCCCTAATTGTAAGACATATCTAAGTTTTTCACTATCAAAAGAAACTATTTTAATCATTCTGCTTCCCTTCTGACAAACCAAAGTGGTACCTCTGGGGAAGTGATCATACATGTAGAGGAACTGTATAGTTCAAAGTGTGGAAAGGCCAGGGATCCTTTTCGTGTTCTGTAGGCCGTCTTATTACCAGTTCTTCCTTTCAATGGCCTTTACTATGTGCCAGCTCTTTACTGACACTAGAACTCGTTCATGAGCAACAAAATTGAAATGACTGTTTGTATTTTTAGATAGTATCTCAAATGTATGTGTTCACTTGTGTCATTTTCTAAACAGATTGAATATGAGAAGAAAAAGAAAGAAGATGGGAAGCGAGCTAGAGCAGATAAGCAACAGGTTTTGGACATGCTGTTTTCAGCTTTTGAAAAACACCAGTATTACAACATTAAGGACTTAGTGGACATCACCAAGCAGCCTGTGGTATGTGTATTTTCCCCTTGATCTTCTTCCTGGGACCTATTCCGAAACATTATCAAGCATTTAAGTGTGGCACAAGGGAGAGAGAACACTGGAACTGGAGGCAGGAAGACCTGAATTCAAATCTAGCCTCAGACACGTCCTAGTTGTGGGACCCCAAGCAAGTCACTTAATCTCTTCTTGGCATTAATTTCTTCTCCTCTTGGCATTAATTTCTTCATCTGTAAAATGAGCATAGTAAGAACTCTTACTTTACAGGGTTGTAAACTACTTTCCAAACTTTAAATCACTAGCTATTTGGTATTATTTTCATGTGGGCAAGCAATAATAATAGCTAACATTTATATAGCACTTATTATGTGCCAGGCACTGTGCTAAGCATTTTATAAGTAATAATTATGGGAGAACTTGGCATCTTTGGATGTTACCAAATAATCTCACTCATATCTATTGTTACATTTAATACTCAGAGAAATTTGTAAAGGAATTCATCTAATGCTTGGAGAGCAATTCGGTTGTCCTTTTATAGATGAAATCAATAGCATTTTTTAAACCCCAGTATATTTAATATCATCAATTCCTCATAAGTGAGTGATGTTTTTCTCTCTATCTTTACTCTAGTGAGCACCCAAAATTAACAAACCAACCAAAATAACCCTGTTTAACTTGTAATAAGTCCTTCATTGTCAGTATCTGTTCATCACAGTCTTTTTCTCTTCCTGTTGCTCTCTTCCAGAGTTCTCCTCCAAACAAAAGGTACCTCACCTTGTTGCTCTTTTTGAGTAGTGTATTTAGAGCTGTGGTTACATTCTTTAAAAGGCACAAAGCTCTTACATTTTCTCTAAAGTGCAATACTGTAGCTCTTTTTTGTAACCAATGCTGCATGGATTTGCATTTACATTCAAGGTGATTCCCTAACCATGGAAAGAATTGTTTTGTATGTGCTTTTTATTTCCTGTCATTTTGGCTAATTATTTCAGCGTTTCAATTTCCTGAATAATGAATTTCTCCACTATATAACAGAAAATTTAAATTCTGAAAGCTTTTTATGGGAACATTTAATAAGATAACTAAAATTCCTATACTTTATTTATTTATTTGTTTGTTTATTTGAATTTCCACATCTTCTTTGTGAAGTTGTTGTGGGGTTTTGTAATGTTTTGTTTTCAAACCACATTCCTAAGCTTTTTCAGAGCTGTCTCCAGAGCATCTCACTTGCCTAGAAGGGTCACAATTGTGATACATGAGTACTTGCAGTACTTTTTATGTACACTGTTTCATTTGATTATCACATTCGCCTTATGTGTAGGTCATGAAGGTGCTATGGGTATTGCCCTCATTTGTAAGATGAGGAAACAAAACTTATTTAAGTTGATTGAGCTCAAGAAGGACTTTGAAATCATGTCCTATTCAGATTCTTATTGAAGGAACTAAGTATTTTAGTTTGGAAAAGAGAAGTCGAAATGGAGGACAACATCTTGAAATAAGCGTGAAAAACTCTTTAATTATTTGAAGGATTGTCATATGGAAGGATTAGATTTCTTCTGCTTGGACAGAGGTAGAAGCAGTGTGTAGAAATTCAAGAGGAAGCAATTTAGACTACTGTGAAGAAAAACTTCCTAATATTAGGGCTACCCAAAAAAATGGAATGAATGACGTCAGGAGAAATAGTAGGCTTCCTGTCAGTTTATCAAGTTGAGAAACTGGGCGTATTTAGCCTGGAAAAGAGAAGTGGAACATGACAGCTGCCTTCAGGTGTTTGACAGGCACTCGTAGGAAGGAGGGGCTAATAAACTTGTTCTGTTTGGCCAATAAATGGCAGCTACAAAGAGACAAATACAGGTTAGATATCAGAAAAACTTACTGAAGAGTTATCAGAAGGAAGAATGACTGCCTTGAGAGATGGTGGATTCCACCTCACTAGAGGTCTTTAGTTAGAGATGGGACAAGATGACAGTTGTCAAGTAGATTAGCAGATAGCCCTCAAGATTCTTTCCAGCTCTGATTCTGTGATTGACCTCCTTCCCTAGAGGTCTCCAAGTAGAGGCTGGAGGACCACTTGTTGGGCATGTTGTAGAGAGAATTTTTGTTGGGTACAGTTGGACTGGATGGCCTTGAAGCCCCTTCCACCTCCAGTGAATCTCCGATAAAGCACTTCTGTGACTTGCCCAAGGTCACATAGAATCTAGTGCCAAAGTCAGGCTTTAAGCCAACTCCAGTGATTCCAAGTCTAGTGTTCTTTTCGCCTTACCATGTTGCCCTTAAATAAGTGAGTTCCAAAATGATCCTAAATATCTCTCGTGTTTAAATACAAAGAAAAGAGAAAACCATTCATTACAGTAATGCCAAGCACCTTGATAGCTTGCAGTCCTTTCCCCATCAAAGTCTTAAGGAATCCGCAGCCAATTACGCACACCAACCCAATTCTGTCTGTGTGGAGCTGGTGTGCAGTGGTTGCAGACAGCGTTTCCCTGAGTGTGTGTGTACCTTGTCCTTAATACAGGGTATTCTAAGGGACCTCTGAGACACTTTTGAATAAAAAAGAAAAAAAGTCTTAAAGAAGCATTTCTTAAATGAGCAAGAGAATTTGAAATAGAATAACTGATTAGAAGATCTTTTTTTCTTATAAGTTACTGAATCTTTGTAGTAAGATTAAAAAGTCTACTTCAAAAACTATGCATTTGATGGGGGTAGCTAGGTGGCACAGTAGATAGAGCATTGACCCAGGAGTCAGGAGGACCTGAGTTCAAATGTGACCTCAGACACTTACTAGCTGTGTGACCCTGGGCAAGTCACTTAACCTCAATTGCCTCACCCAAAAATAAATAAATAAATAAATGAAGCTATGCATTTGGGCAAAAAAAGTTCTCATGGAATGTTTAAAAAAATGAATTACTAAAGAATGAGCAGTGAGACCTTCAGGCGGTGTTACACATAGCAAACAGCTTTTCCATAGAAAAGTAGAAAAGGAACTTCCAACATTTCTTTCAATTCTCTATGTTTAGATCAGGGATTCTTAACCTCTTTTTGTGTCATGGAGCCAATTAGCTGTCTAGTCTAGTGAAGCCTGTGGACCCCTTCTCAAAATAATGTTTCAAATGTGTAAAATAAACTGTACAGAATTACAAAAAAACATCATTTATATTGACATAGAGTTATCAAAACATTTTTAAAAAACAAATTTCTAGACCCCAGGTTAAGAACCCTTACAATGTAGTAGTGATGCCTGAATTGCTAATCCTCAAGAAACAAGGCTTCTTATAAACACTTAGTTATATTTTTAGGTCACAGTTCCCCCGAGCTGGACATTATGGGTATACGGAGAATGTTGATGGTGGCTCTGGTACTGCTAACAGTGGTGTCCCAGGAAAGTGGGGAACAATCCACCTGAAAGAGAGGAAGTTATTCATCTGTCTCCTTTCTCATCCTTCTATCTTTGCCTTACTATTCCACTTCTTTTTTTTCCTCCCTTTCTTCATCCCTCACCCTCTTTTCTCTAAAGCTTTGTCTTCGTCTGCTACATTTTTCTCACTTATTCTCCCATATTCATCCCTTTCCTGTCTGAGCTAGAGAGCCATATGGTTACCTTCATTTGAGAAAGCCAACTGTATCAGCGCTTCTTTCTAACATGAAGTGATTTCCCCCTTAGAGTCCAAAGGATGCTGACCGTTTACCACTTCCTGAAAAAATAAATCCCAGCATTTATAGGAGATAGGGGCCTAGCCTGTGATTTTAGTGGTACAGAGAACCCTCTAGCAATGCTCATCATCACTTTTCTGCAGATTAGAGTCTTAGATAATTATCTAGAGCTTTGAGATGTGAGATTACTTGTACAGCTAGTATGCATCAGAGGTTGGGGGAGAGATTTCAACCCAAGCCTGTTTCTGGGTCTAGCTTTCTGATCACTGAATCACAGCATTTGTACATCTGGATTTAGCACGTTATTAGAGATCTTGCCCTATTAGGAATCAGTAGACAGGAGAAAGTTTGAAGTCTAGAGTAGACTGCAAGATTGATCATTCATCCATAATCTAATCCTACAGAGCCACTCACTTTACAAATTATTGAGGTAAATCCTACAGGAAAAGTAAAATATTGCTCCCATTGTGGAAAGCTTTGCCTTAGATTACAACAAGTTGCATTTTCTGACATCCTGAACATGCATCTCCATGCCTCCTATGTTATTTCTGCCTCTGGTAATGTTTCACACTAAAAGGTGTATGATATCAACAATTCTTTTTTTTTTTTACTAACTGTGTTCTTGTATTGCCATCTGCTTTTCAGTTTCACTATTTTAGATATCCTTTTTGGTTCTGAAAGTCTTATTTGAGAAACCATCACCAGAGCCAGCTTCACATAAGGTCTCTTTCCCTTGGGTCCAGATATATATGACTTAATTATTAGGCAGAGGATATTGAGTGGGTTATTCAGAGCTAATAAAGCAGTTAGCACATGACCAGAGTCCAGTGTTCCATATGCAACAGAAACCATTTTAAGAGTCTTTTAATTCACAAATCTTATGAAAGTGAATGTTGAAAATTATCTTTACATGTAATTGGAAAAAAATTAAGTATTATTAAGTGGGGGGAAAAAAACAAGAGAAATAGTCTTTTTTTAATTCTTAACTTTAGATTCTCTTACACAGACAGGATGCTAGTGAAGCCATATTTATCCCTTGGCATCATTTCAACTTTGATCTTCAGCCTTGAACTTATTTCTTTTCTTTCCTTACTTTTTTTTATATCTACAAAGTAGAAAAATATATAGCATATCCTCAGGGAATCTAAACCATGTGGAGAGGTGGCTAGTTGCTCCTTGTTAAATAATGACTAGGCAAGCCCATTTTAAGCCCCTCTCCCTCCCCACCTAAAAGAAAAATTCTACCACATGACTATGTCATTTGCCAGTGTTCTTTGAACCACCCATTTCTAGGATAAATCATTAATGGTGTCACTGAAAAACAACCCCGGCAGCATCCTTTCCCTGTTCATCTATTTTCACAA